GAAATATAAAGATAAGGAGATTGTGGTCCTGAAACAAGTACCCAGAAGAGTGAGAGAGATGAGAAGAGAATACTGATTTCTGACCAAGATGCTACTTAAAAAAGAGGTGAATTATAGATGGCTGATTCCAGAAGGTTTAATGTTCACATGGCAAGAACAGAGACATAGAATTGACTCAATTGAGAAAGCTTAATTGTTTTGCACAGAATATTTTGGAGGGAAAGAGGAGGAGACAGAAAAAGAAATGTCACTAATTGAATTCCAAGACGGCTGCCAAATGGCAACTGAAAATGAAGAAGGTGCAGTAGGTGCAAAGGTGGAAGTCAAAGAACAACGTGAACCAAGATCTATGAGAGCTGCTAAAAGTAACTACAAAATATAACCAGGGAAGAGAAAAAACTGATTACAATTAACATAAATGGACTTAACTCAGCTGTTAAAAGAAGGAAAACTTTCCATAAATTAGAGAAATTAAAATTTGATATAATCTGCCTACAAGATGTACATATCAAAAAGCAACATGAACAATTGCTGATACAGCCAAAATTAGGGAAAATATTTACTTCTTTGACACAATGCAAGAAAAGAGGAGTGGTTTTATACATTAAAGATATTATCCCAGCGAAATTGATCTATACCGATGACGATGGAAGATTACTAATGGTGGAAATAATGGACAATAATATGAAAACACTCCTGATTGCAATCTATTCCCCGAATGACAATCAAGAAGAATTTTATAGAAAACTACATATGAAAATAATCGAACTGGACTATGCTAATATAGTTATGATGGGAGATTTTAATGGAATTGTAGACAATAAATTGGACTATACAGCACAGAAAACAACAAAGCAAAACAGAAAGACTCTCCCTAAATCTTTTTTCACAATGATAGATGAAATAAATTTAAAAGATACATGGAGAGAAAGAAATGCAAAGACTAAACGATACACCTTCTATTCAAACATACATTTATCATTGTCCAGAATAGATATGATATGGATGTCAACAGAATTGTTAGCTAATATCCAAGAAATAAATATTGAAACAAGTACTTGGGCAGATCACAATCCAATGACAATTAAATGGAAAGGACAAAGAAGATCTAGATGGACGTTAAATAATGCTATATTAAAGGAAAAAGACTTCATACAGAGGATGGAGAAAGAAATGGCCTTTTTCTTTAGAGAAAATAAAAAAGAAGATATATCAATGCAGAACATATGGGATACAATGAAGGCATATGCCAGAGGCTTGATAATAGACTATACAAGGGAAAGAAATACCACAAAAAGACTAGCCTCTAAGACATTAGAGGATGAGTATAAAGGACTTGAAAAAGAGCTACAGAAAATGCCACAGAAAAAGGACATTAAGTTAAAAATGGATATAATTAAACATAAAATGGGACTAATGGAAAAAGAAGAATTAGCACAGAAAATCAGAGGTGTGAAACAGAACTATTTTGAAGATGCAAATAAACCAGGTAGATGGTTAGCATATAAATTGAGAAAGGAGAAAGAATCAAGGAAAATATTGCAATTAATAGATGATCAAGGCCAAGTTTGCTATGGAAGTAAAGAGAAGAAGGAAATTATACGAGACTATTATGGGAAACTATACACACAAGAGAATATTGATGAGGAAAGAGTTAAACAGTACTTACAGAATGCTCATCTACCCCAGATACCTAAAGAGATTGTAACAATGTTAGAAAGCAATATAACGATGATGGAGTTAACTGAAGCACTTAAGAAGCAAAACAATGGAAAGGCACCAGGCCCAGATGGACTTCCGGCAGAATTTTACAAAACACTACAAGAATCGTTGAACCTTCCATTGCTAGAAGTTATGAATGAAGTTATGTTAAAGAAGAAAATACCTAAATCATGGTTAGAAGCTTATATTACACTTATCCCAAAAGAGGAGGCCGATCTATTACAAATCAAGAACTATAGACCTATCTCCTTACTAAATGCAGATTATAAAATTTTTGCTTCAATATTGGCAGAAAGACTTAAAAAAATACCTAAATAATTTTATCCACCCTGATCCAAATGGATTTCTGCCAAAGAGTTAAATAAAAGACAACATGAGAGTAATCTTGGACACTTTGGAATATTACAAGGCACACCCTGAAAAACAAATGGCTTTGATATTTTTAGATGCACAGAAGGCATTTGATAATGTGAATTGGCGATTCATGTTACTACAGTTGGAACAGATGGGCTTTGGTAAAAAATTTATTCAAGCAATAGAAGCTATATATCATAACCAAACGGCAAAGGTAATGATAAAGGGAGAACTGACAGATTCTATTGATATAAGAAAAGGAACAAGACAAGAGTGCCCACTGTCACCTTTGTTGTTTGTGTTAACTTTGGAAGTGTTAAACAGAAATATTAGAGAAGAAAATGATATAAAAGGGATGAAAATTAAAAAGGAAGAATTTAAGCTGCAAGTATTTACAGATGATCTGGTTTTCATTTTAGAAGACCCACTAGAAACAGCATCAAAATTGATAGAAAAGATAGAGGTATATGGAAAGGTGGCTGGTTTGAAAATAAAGACAAAACAAAGATTGTGACAAAGAATATGCAAAAGGAAGAACTGGCGGATGTATTAAAAATCCAGGTCACGAATAAGATCAAGTATTTGGGAATACATTTGACAGCAAGATGTAGTACACTAAAAGAGAATAACTATATTAAACTTAAGCAGCAGATAGCGCTAGATTTGGCGAAATGGGAAAATTTACAACTGTCATTAATAGGGAGAATATCAACAATCGAGATGAATATATTACCCAGAATTTTATATTTGTTCCAAACAATTCCAGTTAGGCTTGGAAAAGATTATTTTGAAGATTTAAATAAAATTGTGTTGAAATATATATGGCAAGGTAAGAAAGCGAGAATAAAGTTAAAACTTTTGCAAGATGCCAGAATAAGAGGATGATTTGGTTTGCCTAATTAGGAGTTGTATTACCAAGCTACAAATTTGATGTGGGTTAAAGAATGGATAACATTAAGAAATACTAGATTGTTGACATTAGAAAGACATGATCTGTTGTTGGGGTGGCATGCTTTTTTATGATACAAAGGAACTAAAACACGGGGGTATTTTAGAAGACATTATATACGGGAGTCTCTGTGGTTAAACTGGGAGAAGACTAAAAGGCAATGTTATTTGAAAATTCCAGTCTGGTTATCGACTATTGAAGCATTTTCCTATCCTATAATATATAAAAAGGAACAAACAGTTAGATGTGGTGAAATATTGAATGAAAAGGGTGAACTTAAATCTATGCAAAAATTAGAGGAACAAGGTATAAAGATGAATTGGTTTTCATATGCACAAATACATTCCAGGTATGACAAAGGTTCTAAAACAGAAGGTTTCTATGATAAACCGACTGATTTAGGTAAGATTTTAACAGATACTGATGAAAAGGTGATTAAAAAATTGTATGGATATTTATTAGAAATTAAACAAGAAGAAGAACAAGTTAAAGAAACTATGATTGCTTGGGGGAAGAATTTTGGATATGGGATTGATCTAGAGAAATGGCAAAAATTGTGGTCTCAAAATTACAAAATGACAATGTCAACAGCATATAAAGAAAATTTGTATAAGATGTTTTACAGGTGGCACTTTCCCCCAACAAGAATAGCAAGAATGTTCAAGAACAAATCTGAAAAATGTTGGAAATGTCATCAGATACCTGGCTCATATTACCATATGTGGTGGACTTGTGTGGATGCCAAAAAATATTGGACTAAAATCCACACATGGTTGGAAAAAATGACAAAAAAGCATATAGACTTGAAACAGAGATATTTTTTATTGGGAATTTTACCTGAAATATATAGTAAAGAATTGAAATATCTGATTGTAAATGTACTAACAGCAGCTAGGATTGTATTTGCCAAAAATTGGAAAAATGAGAAAATACCATCACAGGAGGAAATTATTAAGAAAATATTGGAATGTGCTGAAATGAGTAGATTGACATTTGAAATCAGAGAACAAGATGATAAACAATTTTATAAAATTTGGGATCTATTCCATCAATGGTTAGACAATAAAACATGGTAATGAAATATGTAGATCTTTAGAAAATAATAAGTATATAAAGATGTATTTTTTTTCTTATTATATCTACAAAATGATTGTAGGATAGATTTGAGATGATGATATGGATTGTCATAAAACAAATTAAGTAAAACATGGATTATCTCATTAAACATGAATGAATAATAGTATAGTCAAATGATTAACAATGATATTAATGTATTTAATATTTGATTGACAATATGAGAAACATATACAATGTAATTGTAATTGAAGACTACGAAATGGAAGCACAAAAAAATTTGTAGACCAACCGACACACTGTATGTATATATATGGAAGATGGCTTGATGTTTTTATGTTTTGTTTGTCTGTTTGTCTTAAAAAACAATAAAATTTAAAAAAATAATAATAAAAAAAGAAAAATTAAGCAGTACAGATTCTTCATATATACTTTAAAAACAATTAATGCAATCAAATTGTGTAACTATCATTTTACTGTCCGTCAATTGAAGGTACAAACGAATATATTTTTCATATTAAAAGGACTGTAATCATGTTCTTCCTTACTATATTTGGTTATATTTCCTTGGAAACTATTTGATTTTTAAGTGGCCAACACATATTGATTTTCCCCCCACAGTTAACAGCATTTTTAGGATGCTAAAACTATATACTTGCTTTTGATTTAATTAAAAGTGAGATGGAAACTTAATCAGGATTGACTAACTAGGTAAAGGAACTAACAACAGGAGGAAAAGGGAAGTAACAAAGACAGAATTGGCAGAGACAGATATGAAGATAAGCAACACCAAAAGGTAGTGAAAGTCAAACTTCAGTTTCTTTGATGTACAGCAAACAGGACATCTACATACTGTATATGTTTCACAAAATTTGAGAAATCTGAATATTTTATCACTCACCTCAGGTGAAGAGTGGACTTGTTGCACACCATGTACAGTCAAAGCTATGGATCCTCCTTTGCTAGTTTGTGGTGTATTCTGTACCACGAGTCGCTGAAATAATTGGCATAAAAAGTCCTGATTATCTTTAGAAGAACTATGATAAGTTGGACTCATTAAGAAGCAAGACTAACTGGTAAGTTGCTATATTCGTTGGGCCAAGCTACCTATTCACATACATTCAGTAAGTTGTGCCAAAAACTGCTTTATTATTTGCCTCAATTTACACTGATGCTACAGATTGTCCCCTGTGTACATAGAAAGACACTATATTATATACATATGCAGGAAAAATGTTCTTTAAAGACTGCCCCAAGTACATCTGTTTTTTCTCAGTTCCAGAGGGCAGTGAACAAGACCAAGCTTGATAAAAAAATATGTAGGCTGTACCCAAAGCATCCCCCAACTATAGGCAAATCACATCTTGTTTTAACTTTTTCAAATAATAAAATTCTTTTTTTCTGTTGGAGGCAGCAGTTGCCCCACTTATATTCTATAGTTTAGGCAATTAAAAAACCATGCTTATGATGTACTTTATAAGTTTATAACTGTTTGCTGTACTTGCTGCATGCTTCCTTGTTTTGGATCCATTTGTATCTCCTCTAATTCCTCTTTAAACCTTTCAAAAAAGTATTGTCTTTTGTAAGTTGGAACCTCTGTTGCTTAAAAGTGAAGATTACTCATTTCAGTTATCCCAACAAAATTATATTTTTCTGTATAGCAGTCAAAAAGTATACTGTTCTTGCACAATATGGATAGATATATCTTTGAACTCAATTATTTCTTAATCATTAATCCCAATTTCAGTCCTGAAATATTGCCAAACATGATCTCTTGTACTCTTCCTGACAAAGCGCACAATTATATATCTTGATACATTTCAGAATTCTGCATATCTTGTGCTAAATCTATATACTCTGTCCATTTAGACACTCATGACTTCTTCATCCCATTCCAAAACTTTTGTCAAAAGATTCAATAACCATCTCTTTGATGGATTCCAGATTCCTCTGGAAAAGTCTCAAACAAAATTATCTGTCTTAATTCCTATGGTACCACACCACCCCAGCTCAGCTCCACCGTGCATGCACGAGCGCCACCCTCCAGCCAGCTGGTCTTCGGGTCTCTGTCGCGCATGCATGGGGGGGCAGGGCTGCATGCAGGGGGCAGGGCTGCATGTGTGGAGGGGTGGTGCACACATGCGTGGGGGGGAGTGCCTGGCATTTGGGGTATGCATGTGTGCATGTGCGCATGTGTGCGCATGGGCTTTGGGCAATCGGGGATCAAAAGGTTCGCCATCACTGTCCTAAGTGGTAAAGTCATTAAGCAGGTCACATGAACATGACTTGCTGCCAGCTACCCCTTGACTCTCCTTTTTGGAAGCCAGCCATGAAGGTGGCAAACAGCAATCATGACCGTGGGACAATGCAAATTCTGTAAATGCGAGCCAGTTGCCAAATGCCTGAATCATGATCATGTGATTGTGAAGACTTGTAACGGCCATAACTTCAAGGAGCAGTCATAAGTCTTGTTTTTCAGCACTGGTATAACTTCAAATGATTGCTGGTCAAGGGATCAGCAAGTGTGACTACCTGTATTACACTTAAATGAATGAGCAAATCAAAATTAAACCAGATATCATTAACAGGGAGCTGATCCTAAAACTGCATTTCAGTCTATGGTTCTATTCTCCTCGAGAGAAGAATTTCACAGTATGAGACAGCTACTTGGTCCTCAGCTGCATCTGGATCTCAAGGCAGTGACAATAGCAAGAGGAATGTGGTTATATAATTATCTCTAATGCCTTTTGTGCTTTACATCAGGTCATTCTTGAAAGAGTGTCCACAAACATCTGTTCTCCGCACCTTTGTCAATTAGACTGATGCAAAATATAGGGGCCGTATTATCCTAATGTTGAAAAACCTAAACTGGTTGCCATTATGAACATGATTTAAGATACTGGTTTTAATATTTGACATTTCTACTTTTTCATCTGTATAAAATAATTTAAGACTTATTTCTTCATGTATTCATCTTAATCATACTTTAATTCTTTTCTTAATCTCTTTCAGCATTATATGCCTTGGTCTTCCTCTCATATGAAAATAATGAGGCATTAATCAAATAAACTAATATGCATTTTGTGGAGACTGTGAAAAGTGTTTTATTACTTTGTGATCTTCATAAAGCAATTCATGACATTTCTTGCAATAAACATGTTAGCTTGAGTTAGTACCATAATGCAACTACATTTCATATCCAAAACAGGACTATAATTACATCACATTTTTACAGCAACATATGAAACACCTGAATAATGTCCAGCAGGCAGGTTGCTGGACAAAGGAGAATGCTTCAACCCATTTCCAACTGTTTGTAGCAGCATCAGTAAAAGAAATGAGACTCACCTGTGGGGGAACTTGCACACTTGTAAGCTGCAGAGGAGATACTGTTCCAGGTTTTGTTTGTACACTGGCTTGAACCAATAACCTCTGCAAATAAGAGAACAAGATTAAAAAAAGACTTTTAGCCTTAATCACTCTCACTATTTTTCTTACTCAGAAATTGGGAAGTTTATTGAATAGTAAAGCCAATATAGTTACTTCTCGACTTATGACCACAACTGTGTCCAAAATTTATGTTGCTAAGTTGAAACAGTTGTTAAGTGAGTTTGTCCCATTTTATGACCTTTCTTGTCACAGTTGTTAAGTGAATCATTGCAATTGTTAAGTTAGTAGCACAGTTGTTAAGTGAATCTGGCTTCCCAATTGACTTTGCTTATCAGAAGGTTGCAAACATGGTTGGTAACATGGCCCCGGGACTCTGCAACCGTCATAAATATGAACCAGTTGCCAAGCATCCGAATTTCTATCATATGAACACGGGGATGCTGCAGTGGTCGTAAGTGTGAAAAATGACCATAAGTCACTTTTTTCAGTGCTGTTTTGTAACAGTCAATAAACAAACGGTTGTAAGTTGAGGACTACCTATAAAATATTGGTATTTGTTATTTCACGATATACTGAGGCAAGTTGAGTGAAAACCCATTGATCTCAGTTGAAAAAGCATTTCAGAAAAAGGCCACTTTCAATTTGAGATCACCTGATTTCCTTGACAAAATACAAAACAGTTAAGCAGAGGGTGGGGTGCACAGGGAGGAATTCATAATGAATTGGACTATACAGTTTAGTACAGGCAGGATCTCTTTTAAGGGCCATTTGAAATCTACCCTGCAATAATGCATGTAGTAAAGAGGGTGTTTTTCTCAGTGTCCGCCTCATCTGCACTGAACACAGTAACTATGTTTCCTATTTCCAACACCTTGTCTAACAAGATGTGGATGGAGGAAAACTGGAACTGATGGAGGCTCAATGTGAGCAACCTTCAAAATTCTTTGCAGGCAAAGTCATGGAGTTATTTTGATTTAGACTCCAGTTTGGGGGCAAATCATCTGAAGATAACCTTGTCAGATTCATATAGATCCTTTTCAGCTTGATGATGTGAAATGAATGTGCAGATACTACGGGGCCACCATGTGTGTGCTTAATCCTTGCCCCACCGAGTAGAGTCAGTGTCAGACTGGGACTGGTTCCATGGTTAAGGGAGGTGATTAATGCAGCTTTTAGTATGGTACACGTCCCTATTCTCTTAAATGGACTTTTATAAGACCTTTGCTGAAAAAAGGCCTTCCTTGATCCAGAAAATCTCATTATTGCATTCTAAGGGAAAATGTTTGAGGAACCAGTAGCTCTGTGTGTGTGCGTGCATGTGTGTGTGTGTATGTATGTGTATATATACACATACATAGACACATATACATATATGTGTATTCACACACACACACACACACACACACACTTCAAATATATATTTTAACTGGAATTTTGTTCAAATATATATTGGACTGTTCTGATCATTTTAGCTTAAGATCTACATCAGAAGATGATGCAGCCAGGTGCAAACGTGAGCTAGTTGTTAAGCAACCAAACTGATCACATGATCATGGGGGGGGATGGGGACAATGTTATGGTGATTAGAATTACTTTATAAGCTATAAAGGGCCCTTTCCAAGGCCATTGTAACCTTGGCCCATCATTAATGAATGGCTGTTAAGTCAAGGATCGCTGTATGCTATTCGCCATTTACGTGTAATTGCTAGGGAGATTATCAGAAGTTCTGTACTGTCCTTGGTATACTATTGACACCAGTTCTTTTTTTTTTTTTCTTATTTTTCCGATTCCAAAGAATTAATTGGTCCATTTGTATGTTACTTAATTTTGATACTCAAAAGGATGAGAGAGAACAATGAAAACTAGAGAAGAATAGAAGTGCCTTTCCAATAGCTGCCCCACCTTGTGAAATACTCTCCCCCGCCAGCTCCCCTAGCTTTTCAGAAGGCCATTAAGGTTTGACTCTTTCCCCGAGCACTGGAGTACAGTAATGGGAGCCCTTGGATGGCTGTTGGGGCAGGGAAGACTGAGGTGCTTGGGGTGGGGGTGGTTTTTAGTTTGTGTTTTCATTATTTATTGGTTTTTATGGTTTGCAGTTTTATTGTTCTGAATCACCCAGAATAGTGCTCCAAGTTGAGCAGCCATACAAATCTTTTAAATAAGTAAGTAACATAGAATTGCTGTTTGTAAGGAAAAAGCTGGACTCTGGGACTGAAGTGAGGCTTCTTCCAGTAGTTGGAGTTGTACAGAAATAGAAGGAGCATGATCACAAATTACAGTTAGTGAGCCAAGTGTGACCCTTCCTGAACAGGCTGCCTTAGCAATACTTATCTGCCTTGGTTACAACTTGTCTTCATTGACAAGTGCAATGAGCTGTATGCAAGTTATTCTTAAAAATAATAGGTTTCAACTCTAGTATAAAATATCATAAATGACTGTCAGTGAAAAGTATAGTTATTATATGATATTTGCACTAGCTACTAGTTGCATTCCAACACAATCCAATACATTGATATCGACTTTTAAAGCTATTAATGGATTGGCAGTATAACTATTTACATATATCTTTCCAACAATAAACCTGCCTGGCTATTTAGATTAGCAGGTGAGATCTTACTGATCTTTTGAAGATTTTCTTGTCAGTAGAAGACTGACAATTCTCCTGCATGACTCCCAGGACATCGAGCATACTACCTAAGGAAATACATTTGGCTCTCACTCCCTCAGCGGTCAGGTTTTTAATTGTTATTTCAGTGATTAATTCTCATATCAACTGTATTAACATTACTGCAGCTCATATTTTATATTTTTATTATCTTAAACCATCTTGATTATTACAGAAACAAAAAGCTACAAGAGAACCAAACAAACAATCTCCTATTCTTGGCTACTTTGGAGACCAGCTTACCCAATATGCTTTTTGTTTTACTCATTATATCTCATGTTCTTTTACTGTTATGAATCGTATCTGGAAACTTGAGTCAGACTTCCTCTGATTGCTTTAGTACGTATATGTCACATTAATAGCAAGACTCTCAGTTGAGCCGCATACCTGCTGAGTGCCCTGGACTTGCTGAACCACCTGAGTCGGCACTCCTGACTGTGTAGCTGTGGACCCTGGACTGGACTCTGAAACGGTATCGCTGGGCCTCATGGAGCCTTCTATTGAAAGACAGAAATATATATATTAGACAAATTTTCTCAAGAAAACTCCAACTTTGCAATTACATCTCCCCCCCTCCCCCTAAAAAGGAAGAAAAGAGCAGAAAACTGAACTCATTCTCTGAAGTGAAGGAACAACCAGCAATTTTAGTATTTATTCAACACTTAGGGGCATGTGACCAACAGGGGTCCTATTCTGTCCCTACAACCTAGCTCTCTCTGAAAAGTTAATATAACTTATTTTCCTACTCCAGGAGGTACACATATCAAGTTATTGCCTCATATTTTGCACTCTAACAAGGGATCCAGGATCCCTTTTCCCAGGTTGAACTCTTGCTGACATGGGTCTAGGACAACTCGTCGCAGCCAACTTGCTGCAGGACAATTCAACACAGCCAACTTGAAATAGGACAAAATGCCGTGGGACAAAGTTACCCTAATATCAAAGAAATGGTGGAATAGAATTATTAAAAGAAGGAAACAAAAGGACAAAAAAAGGAAATGTGAATGACAAAAATTAAAATTAAATTGAATTGTTTAATTGTCCCGTCGCAAGTTGTCCCACCAAGAGTTGGCCATGGCAAGCTATCCTGCAGCAAGTTGACCATGGTGAGCTGGTGTGGGGAGTTGGCAGCAACGAGTTGGCTGCACAGAGCTGTCCCATTCCATGCTGACACTACTCTCCTTCAGAAGCAGCACAAGAAACTGAATTACTTGTAAAGGTAGGGTGACTCTTCTTTTGAAGGAGAACAAGAAGAGATTAGACTGATATCACTTGGGAAGCCTTTAATTTGGTTTAGGTTTGGTCTTCGAAATGGCTTACTTCAGCTCTATAATTCTATAACTACATATGTTTATCCAGAGTTCTGGGAGTAAAATATTGATATTGTATTTTTTTGTTATATATTTATTTGTATCCATATTTATTATTTCTATAAATAACTCAAAGAGGTGAACATATCCAACACACCTTCCTCCTCCTATTTTTCCCACAACAACCCTCTGAGGTAGGTTGGGCAGAGAGAGAGAGTGACTGGCTCAAAGTAACCCAGATGGCTTTCATTGACAGTTCATACTGACAATTAAAATACGCAGAGCACCCAGCTCTTAAAATGAGAACAAATCATATTATTCAAATGTAGCAATTCATTTTCCTCACAAGAACACTGTAATCTCTAAGCATGTTTTTGAACTAAGATTGCCTTAGGCTACAAATGCACAGTTCTTATTGAGAAAAGTCTATATGTTGAGATCTCTCCAGAATGTTTTTGTTGGAGCTGTTTATAATTACCAGCAGTCTGTCATTACTCTTTGTAACAGTAATAAAGCAGTCCATATATATTTACCCAGAAATGAAGATTACTTCCCCCACTACATTGCTCCTTCATCACATAGTCTCATATTTAAAAGCTGTGCAATATTTGTAGTGATAAAGCAAATGTCTCTCCTCCCTTTATTTTAGGAGCTCCTTAAAAGTTTTATTGTATATATTTATTTATTGGATTTAAATAAAAAGAATCAGCCTAAAAGGACTCCAGGCAATATATAGCACCCGATTAGATAAAAATGCCAAATCCAGTCTGAACATCTGGCTGACTGTGTGACGAACTATAATCAATAATGCTCAATAGAAATAAAATTTAAAAACCCAGGCTACTGTTCCGCAATCTTCTAAACCTCCCCCCCACCCAAAAAGTCAGGATTTCACAAGCCTCTGGAAGTCACAGGATTGGGATCATCAACATCCTTCGTTAGGCTCTATCATGGGAGGGAAGATGGCCTCCAACTATGCCCCAGAAAGGAAGAGACTTTCAGAAGGCGCCTTCTGGCCATCTGGACTGGCTGGGCAGGAGTTATCTGGGAAAGTTGGATCTCCTAGACATCTCTTAGATTGAATACACTTTTAGTAAGCCAATTGGTGCAACAATGCTAATAGTAACAACCCAAACCTTGCTTACTCTACTCCAGCAAACTTCTGTATTTTTTTAAACTTAATTTTTTATGTTTTTTTATTTATTTGCCAGATGTTTCCTTTCTATATCCATCCCTGGAAACATGTTTTTTCTAAAGGCAAATAGGAATATAGCTGTCTCTGGTACAGCAAGCTTACTTCTCTCTATGCATCTGCAATTACATCAGGATATCAAGCTTCTGGCTTTCATCTACCCTCCATGATATTATTGTCATAAACAATTGTTTTCTATTTTCTGAAGATGCTACCTTTCATTTCCTTCCAGATTTTGAGATATAATCTGAAGCAGTGCATACATTTCTTTTCCATAAGCAAGGATAGAGCACATGGTTCAAAGAACTACTATGACAATCAAGAAGCTTTCTACGCTGAGAGCAGAATCTTCTGCTTTGAATAACTTCTTCTATGCTGTAACTCTGTTGGCCCCAATGGGCTTGCAAGAGAGCAAAGGCAGCAGTTGATTTGTAAAGGATCTATCTCTGATAGAGGCCAAGCGGTACTAAGCAGAAATCCCTTCAGAAGTACTTACGATCAAAAGGCATTGCATAAAGGCAATCATAATACATGATGAAGCTCCTGAAAGGTTTCAGCTCTAACTGCTGTTTTCCTTGAAAATAAAACAGGCAAACCTTTTATAAACTGGAACCTTGGCCAAGTAATCCCCATTTGTTCCTACTAAAGCTTCCAGGCAGATTGATTGCGAATAAACATTCGCATCAGAGTAGGTACATTTGCTGTTCTTCTCAGGATTGGGTGGCGGATGCCGGCTGTTCACCTGATTGTAATCGCAAAGGAGCAGTTCACATTTCATGGGCGTCTCATTTGACATGCTCAACAGAAGGGGAGAAAGGGCAGAGGAAGACACACTGGGCCAGCTGCACTGGGCTTCTGGATGCATTTGAGTTCTTAAAAAATACAATTTATTATGCAGGATTTCAAAACTGTTCCCTTGAAGTTACTCTTGCAATGTAAAGAATGATCAGCATAATCAATATTATTGTGCCAATGGCTGACTTGAGAATTGTTGAACTTCTCAGGGAAAGACCAGTTCCCTTCAATTCATTGAAAGAATTAACATCTTGTAAAAGGCACTTTTCACCCTCTGTGACATCTAGACACATTAGAATTTGTAATGGCAACAACCATCCATTCAACATTTCTTGGAGACTCCAAGGTTTCCTAATATGTGTTCCCAAAACTGGTTCCAGTTTTGGAAAGCATGAAAATCCTATATATTCTCTTATCTCTCATAGCAGACAATTTTATATTTAGGGTAGAAATTCTCACAATGTCATAATGAGCGTCTCTGATATGAAAATCTAGATAAAAAATTAAACTTACTTGAAAAATGATCAAAACAAGTCACCTGGAAATAACAGTTATTGTTTAAGATATGAAAGCAAATAGATGGAAGCAGAGTCAGAAAAGACAGAAGAGCCTGCTAACAATATGTTAAAACTGCTTGAAGCAGACTTCAGATTTTAGGGACAGAATTTGACAAGACTTTTTACTCCATAAGGAATGCCAATGGACAGAAATGACCATTTATTTACTAAGTCTGGTTTCTTGAATCATACTATTGGTCACTGGCATTACCTCAATGTGCAATAAGGAGACACCTCAATTTAAATTATTTTTGAGATACCAAGGAACCTTTATCTCCTGTGAAAGTTGCAAACTTAGTTTTACATTTTAGGTAGAAATAGTCTTTTCTGATTTGCAGACTACAACTGAAAAAGTGGGTTGTGTCTTTTGCATGAAAATACTTGTGGAAAGGGAGTGTAAGTATTTAAGTCATAAGAACATAATCTAGAGTATAGTTGTTGATTGGTAAATTGTTTTAATAAAGGTGATGTGCTTGCGTTCCATATGGGAACACTTGGAATCATATTAACCCATAACTGGATGGGAAGAAACAGACTTTGGCCCATCCTGATAAGACTAAATGACTGTGGCTGCTTGGCCTCTAGGATCAGGGACATTTCCATCTTTGGTTTTGGATGGGGCTGCACTTCCTCATTTGAAAATCTTGGGTTTACAGCTACTGCCTATAGGAGGGCCTTTGCACAGGTACATCTTGTATGCTGGTTGCATCCCTTTATCAATTGAGAGGCCCTGGAGGTAGTCACTCATGTCGTGATCACCTCACAATTGGAGTATTGCAATGTGCTCTACAATAGGGCTGTCATTGAAGACCACCCAGAAGCTATTGCTAATTCAAAGCACGGGGGTGGGAGCAATAATAGAAACTTCTTTTGCGTTTGTGTCACCACTGCTATACAAGCTACATTGACTGCCAGGTAGCTTCTGGATGCAATTCAACAACAATAAATGAGCCATTAGATCCTCTTAGCTTATGAAGAATGCTTGGAAGAAGTCAGCCTTCTTGATGGAAGGGGTGGTTTTTGCCTCCCTTTAAATAGATAATGGCAGGAATCCCCACCCTACTACTGGGCCGTGGCCTGTTCAGAATTGGGCCGCGGAAGTGGCAGGTAAGCATGCGCGTGCCCACTGCTCGCATAGAACCATCCCCCCCTCCCCAGTCTGCAAAGCTGGACAGGTTGGAGACCACTGAATAATGGTATATGCTCTCATTGCTGGACCCAAACGTTCTGGGTAACTTTTGTTTAGTCTACAATCTTTCCTTCGAGGGATAGATTTTGAGAATGTAGTTGGACTGCACTTTCAGGAGGTCCTTAAAGAAAATGTTTATCTGGACACTTTTCAGTCATGTTTCAGATCAAGCCACAGTGTAGATGTTAGGGATGGTCCATTTGTCCTGATTCTCCTTGATCTCTCAACAGTTTTCAATACTACTGATCATGTGGAATCCTTGATGCTCTCTGAGCTTGGCTGTTTGCTTGCAGAAGTTTCATTACCTGACTAGATAATGTTGGGTAATGAAACATCTACAAACCAACGAACAACCACTCTACAATTCAACTCTGAGCAACATGTATTCTCTTCGATTGAAACCACTGATTGTGGTATCTTTTGCACTATCTATGGAACTGGTACAGTGATTCTC